ACATTCTCTTAGTGGTACAGCATTGCTCTGTCAGTTTGCTGGACTGAGGAAACTTGGGATTACTATGATACTCAATACTGTGCCATTGGTGTCTCAAATGCCATAACAGTTACACGTGGTTAACAGTGTTTGGTGGAGCTCCCAGATTAAGACAGGCTTGGAAGCAGGAGTGGCATGCACTTCTTAAACATGCCTCTGCAAACTCTATGAACTTGGAGAAACAACAATAGTTAGCAGAACTGGGTTAAGGTCTTTTGTTCATTGGGTCACTATGAGTTGTGATCGACTTGATAGCACTTTATAACAGCAACAACAATGTACTTAGGGAACGTAAATATATTGTTCCATAATACTCAGTAATCTTATCTTAATATTAGTTGTATGGATTTTAAAGAGTGAGACCTTTGATTTATTAATGTTAGAGGCCTCACTGAAGGAATTCTGACTATGTGTTAACCATAACATCCTAATTTATGTATATCTATTAAATAAGATGTACAGTAGACAGGGACCCTTGATAGCGTACCAGATTATGTGTTGGACTGAACTAAGGATTAGTGATTTGAAGCCACTAGTTACCCCACTGGAGAAGGATGGGCAATCTGCTCCCAATTAGATTTACCACCTCAGAAACCCAATGAAGGGTCACCATGAGTCAAAATCATCTCTGCACAGATGAGGGGGGTTATTGTGGGCTTTTATGTATGTTGAAATTAAGCAGAACTCTTTAATCCATGGTATCAGTACACTATCAGGTATTACTGAAAGTGTGCCATCAGAAGAGGAAAAACTAGATAAATGGGACCTTCTAAAAAATTAAATCGTTAAGTGTAAAGATGTATCTGAAAAGACCAAAAGTAGAACTTATTTACTGGTGAAAATATTTGGGAACAACATATCTGACAAGGAACTCAACTTTAAAATTTATAGAAAAGTCTAATATCTTAACAAGAAAAAGACAGCTTACATACAAACTGAGCAGAGGACATGGGTGATTTCACCAAAGAAGACATTTGGATGTCCAACGAATGTATGAAGAAATGCCGAAGATCACTAGCTATTAGAAAGATGTTAGCATTTCATACCAGCAATAATAACAACATTAGATATAACACTAAAACAAACGTTGATAAAGTCATGATCAGAACTCTTATACACTGCTGGTGAGAATGGAAAAAGGTGAAACCACCATGGAGAGCAGTTTGGCGTTTCCTTCTAAAGCTAGAAATAAAAATACAGTTTGATCCAGCAGTCACACTCCTAAGTATGTATCCTGAGACATAAGAGATAGAGCACAACTTATGGAATAGATTCACATTCATGTCCATTGCAGCATTATTTATAATCTTTACATTATTAGAAAAAATATATATAAACACACAATTAGCAAAGAGATGGAAACAACCCAGGTGTTCCTCCACTAAGGTGTAAATGACTAGAGTAACTACAGTACATTCACACAATGGAATACTAACTGCATAATGAATTTGATGGTGCGGGGGGGCGGGGAGGGAAATTGAAAGAATTTGTTCTGGAAAAAAATGTATTCAAATTTTGTAAATAAACTAGTAGAAAAAAATTTTTTAATTGCATAATTTAGACATAAATTAATGTAGAGTACGTTATGCTAAGTGTTCAGGGTCGAGTTGCCTGTGACTCATAGCTGTGTATAATAGCTCTGAACTCTGCCCTATCTTGAGCCAGTCTCACTATCTCTAACACTCCTACCCTCATTACCCTTATATAACACTAAAACAGTCACTGAGTCAATTCATGTCATCCAGGGTCTTTCTCTCCTGCTCTGTCTCTCCACTTTTCCAAGCATGATGTCCTCCTCCAAGGACTGGTCCCTCCTGGCCATGTGTGCAAAGTATGTGTGATGGAGCTTCAAAATCCTTGACTCCAAGGAACAGCTTAGTTTCACCCTTTCCAAGACAAACCTATTTGTTATCTTAGCAGTCCATGGTATGTTCAAGCACCACAACTCAAAAGCATTGATTCTTCTTTCATCCTTGGTCATTGTCCAGCTCTTTGATGAATAAAGACCACTAATTTAAAAAGCTAAGGAAAAATTTACAGACTCATTCTTAGATGATTACCAAGGGTAGAAAGGAAGGGAGAGGAAAGTAAAAATTAGTTAACTAAAAGTAGACATGTTAAAGTGATAGAAGGCCAAGACAATATCCAGTAAGGAAACTATCACTAAAAAGGAAGATACAGGTTTAGGAGGATTAATAGAAACCAGAGATAGGAGGAAGCAGGAAACATGCAGTTAAATTGTGTATATTCTAATTACTGTTCTAAACGTGTATGAATGATTGGGTGAAAAATTAATTTGCTTTGTAAACTATCAGTCAAGTCATAATTTAAGAATAAAGTAAAATATCTAAGAGTATAACTAAACGTTAACTAAGATCTAAGAAAAATAACGAAACATTAACAGAAGATGCTTTTGTTTCCTGTCCAGAATAAGTTGCTAGTGATTTGTGTATTTATATCTCTAAAGCTATTTTATGAAAGGTTAAAGAAGATAATTGCTCATTGTTGTTATGGACCATCAAGTCAGAACCAACCCATGCCAGACCCTCCAGTGGGTTTTTAAAGGCAGTAAATCGCACATAAATTGTTGACTGCCCATTTTTTCTCCTGTGGAGCAGCTGTTGGATTCGAACTGCACACCTTTGCATTGGCAGCACAATTCCTTACCACTGTGCCATCAGAGCTCTCAATGTTATTTATCCTACGTAGAGTCAATAATATTTTTTTCCTCAGAGGAATATCAATATATTTGATGACAGAATTTTGTTTTTGTTAGGTGCTCTTGATTCAGGTACGACTCATTGCAATGCTATGAACAACAGATCACAGACCTATTCTGTGCCTTCCTCACAATGTCTGGCACACTTGAGCCCATAGCTGCAGTCATTGGGGACGTCCACCTGGTTGAGAGTCTTCCTCTCTTTTGCCATCCCTCAACCTTTTTGAGCATGATGTTGCTCTCTGAGGAATAGCCTCTCCTAGCAACATGACCAAAGTATGTGAGACAAAACTTTATCATCTTTGCCTCCAGGGAGCATTGTGGCTGCACCTTCATTTGGAGTCCATGGCACAGTCAGTATGCCAACACCACTGTTCAAAGGCAACAATTCTTCTTCTGTCTTCCTTATTCATTGTCCAACTTTCAGCAGCATAGCAAGTGATTGAAAAGGCCATGGCCTGAAGCAGGCATACACACCTTAATCTTCAAACTAACATCTTTGTTCCTCAATAATTTTGAGAGGTCCCTGACTGCAGACTTTCTCAGTGTAATACATCTCTCAGTTTCCTTCCTGAGTGTAATGATAATTGATCTAAGTAAGATGAAGTTGTTGACAGTTTTAATGTTTCCCCATCTATCATGATATTGTCTTTTGGTATAGTGGTGAGAATTTTTCTTTTCTTGACATTGAGATGCAGTCCATATTGACAGCTGCAGTCTGCTCTTCTGCAGCGAGCTCTTCAAGTCTTCCTCACTTTCAGTGAGTAAGGTTGTATCATCAGCAATAACAAATGTTGGTACATCATGAACCTTCCTCCAATTCTGATAACGCATTCTTCTTCTTAGAGACCAGCTTCTTGAATAATTTGCTCCGCATACAGATTGAATAGGTATGGAGCAAGGATACAATACTGACAAACACCTTTCTTAATTAAACCATGCAGTGTTCACTTGTTCCATTTGCCCAGTAGCCTCTTGGTCTCGGTATCTGGTACTTAGGTTTTTGAAGTAGACATGATGATTTGAGATTCTTCACCTTTCTAAATAATAACTTTGGTGCTGTAAAATATCCTCTCAGTTGTGCTCCACAAATTTTAGTATGCTTTATTTTCATTTTATTAAATGTGTTTGTTTCATAAAGGTTTCTCTTGATATTTCTTGTTTTACCTGTGTATAATATATTTAAAAGTTGTTATTATTCCAAAATCTCTGTAAGCGTTCATGAAAATTAATTTTAAAAACATTTTAATAAATTATTTAAACTTTTCAACAACAAAAAAGTTGTTATTATGTACTGTCAGGTTGAAATTGACAAATAACTGACCTTCCAGTAGGTTTTCAAAGGCAGGAGATTGCACCCCTTTCTCCCACAAAGCATCTGGTGGATTTGAGCTTTGTTCCTTTGGGGTGGCAGTGCAGCTCCTTATCACGAGGCCACCAATTGCTTGTTAATTACTGTCAAGTTAGCCTTAATACATAACGTCCCTTTATACAAAAGATGAAACACTTGCTGGTCTTTTACTGTCCTCACAGTCATTACTGTTTGAGCCCATTTTGCAGTCACTGTGTTAGGCCATCTTGAGGGTCTTTTTTTTTCTTTTTCTTTTTCTGACTGTCTGCCAAGCAAGTTTGTCGTTTCCCAGAGACTGGTCCCTCTTAATAACATGTCCAAATTATATGAGACAAAGTCTTTGCCATTCACGCTTCTAAGAAACATTCTAAGAAACTTTTAAAGATAAATTTGTTCATTCTTCTGCAGTTAATAGTACAGTTAGGATTCTTTGTCAGCATAATTCAAAGACTTCTGGTCTTCTCCAGTTTACGTATGCACGGCAGAAATTGAAAATACCAAGGTTTGGGTCAGTTGCACCTTGATATCTTTGTGTCTGAAACACTTAAAAGAGCATTTGTAGCAGATTGCCCAGTGTGGTAGTTTATTTCTCAACTGCTGCTTCCATGGACTTTGATTATACATTCAAGTAAAATTAAATCCTTGATAGCTTGAAATGGGGTCAATTAAGAGAGATTCTGGGAGGAGTTTGAAAGTGCTTTGTTTATTTTGTGTTTAGTGACTATTTCCTGGAGAAGGAATAAGTGGCTTTTCTTACAAGTGTATTAATTGTATTCTGGGACTCAGTTTATCATCCAGATGATGACATTTGCTCACTAATTAAATGTTCTAGAAATAATTCATTCCTTTTTTTAATGTTTGACTTTCCATTTTGACTGATTTGTTTCCAAGGGTACAGAGCAATCATTCTGCAGACTTTGCCACAGCTTAGAATCCTGGATTGTAAGAACATATTTGGTGAACCAGTTGATTTGTCAGAAATAAATTTATCCCACTTACAGTGTTTAGAAGGTCTCTTGGATAATTTAGTTTCTTCTGATTGTCCCCTCGTAAGTGAAGAAGAGGTACGGTTTTTTTTTTTTACCCAATTCAAAAATTGTGTTCATCTTTTAATTAATAAATGTACATGAAAAGGCTTTTGGTTTCTGTGTTGCAGACCAGAGATAGTACGCCGGTGGTAATGCCAAACATCGATCAACAAGTACCTGTGGATCAGTTTACATGTACACCAACAGACACTGTCTTGACGTCCATTGATTCAGTGTGTCCATCTTCTGAGCCAGAGAAAATTAATCATGAAAACGATTTTCAAAATGAGATAAAACTTCTGAAAATAGAGGATCAAATTTCTCAGCTTCTCAATGATGTAACTACTTTTTTCTACTTTTTAAAAAAGTCCACAGAAGAAAAATTTTTTTCATAGAAGAAGAATTTTTAAGAAAATGCAAAATTGTTTATGTACAAGCTGACCAACTAGAAAGAATTTCTGTCTAGCATATGAGTTAATGTGTTTTCTTAAATCCTGTTATAGTCATAGTGTAAATAAATATTTTTACAATTTTAATAACCACTTGTTTATTATTCTTATTACTATTATAATACTTGGAAGGAGATTTTTTTAAGTTTTGTGCTACATAAACATTTGATGCTAAATCTGTTTTCAGATAAATTATTATTCCTTGGAATAAAATAAAGAAATAGAAGGAATGGCAATGTTTATGTGCCTTTGGAACAGTTTTGATTCCTACTGCCGAACTGATCTGTAAAAGCTGAGAGTCCCCCTGTGCTTCTCAGGAGTTTCCTTCTAAGTACACTTGTACCTCATTTATCAGTTACCCCATTGTCTTCTTTCATATCTTCATTAGGTCATTTCTCTGCCTTATTACGTGATCCTTTCTATAGTCATCCTATGTCATGATTCCCTCTATGAAGATCTGGTTAGCATTTAGTAATAATTTTCTCCAATCTTGTTAAGACAATTTTCAGACTTAGACGGTGAAATTTTCTCAAAACCATTATATGCACCACTTATGCCATTAACACTGTGCTACTTTTATTTCATCATTTATCAATCTACCAGATTATCTTAGTTTATGACAATTTCAGGATAAATTACATACATCAGTATACTTCTCCATAAAGACTTAACCATACAAATTATTATGTTGTTATTAACTAGATTTGTGTTTTTTACTTTTAATTTGTGAAAGTGACTTTGTATTTACCACTCTGTTGTTTCTGTTTTGTCTTGTTTATTTCTCTTCCTTTCCTGCCTTCTATTGATTATTTTTGTAGAATTTAATTTTAATCTACATATTGGTATTTTAACAATATTTTCAATAACTTTATGCATTACAAAGAAATATTAAAGTCATTGTTTATCTGAACCTTAATCTTATACCATACTTTTTATTTTTCCATAGATTTCTAGTTTCCGACTGGTATTACTTTCCTTCAACTGGAGCTAGTAGCCAGAATTTCCTTTAGTAAATCTTGTAGTACATGTCTCCCAAAAACATTGTATTTATATGAAGGATTCTTGAAGATTATTTCACTGCATTTAGAGTTCTCGATGGATAATTTCTTTCTTTTAATACTAACTCCTGGTCTTGATTTGAATGCAAAGTTGGCATTAATTCAGATGTTTTTTCTATCTGGTTTAAACATTTTTATCTTTGGTTTTCAGCAGTTTGGCTGTATTGACCTAAGTAAAGCTTGGGGGTTTTTGTTGGGGTTTTTTGGTTGGTTTGTTTGTTTTTTTTAATTTCTTGTTTGTCCTACTTGGGATCTCATTAAGCTTCTTGAATCTGTGAATTTATGTCTTCCCCACATTTGGGAAATTTGGATCTATGGTTTCTCCTGTTATTTCTTCTGTCTCATTTTCTCTTCTTCAGAAACTAATTGTAGATATGGTAGACCTTTAGATATTAGCCCACAATTTCCTGAGTATCTCTTCATTTTTATAACATTTGTTCTGTATTCTCCATGTTGAATAATTTCCATTTGAACTGTGTTCAAGTTAACTTCCTATTTTATCACCTCATTTCTGCCCAAACTAGTTATTTTTACTTCTAGCATTGTAATTTACTGTCGCTGCTGTTGTTTGTCATCGAGTGGCAACCAACTCGTAGCTGACCCTTTCTGGGTTTACAGAGGAACAGATTTAAGGCATTGAACACCAGTGGTTGAGGACCAGAGGAACTGGGTCAGGACCTCAAAGATATCATTCATGAAAAGAACAAAAGGTCATTACAAAGAAGGAGGAGAAAGGAAAAACCAAAATGGCTGTCAGAAGAGATTGAAAATTGCATTAGTGTCGCGAAGTCAAAACAAGAGGAAGAGATGCTGAATTAAAGAGCTTAAAAGAAGATTTCAGAGGGCAGCTTGTGAAGACAAAGCAAAATATTATAACAAAATGTGTAGAGAGCTGGAGGCAGAGAATAGGGAAGATTTTACTCAGCATTTCTCAAGTTGAAAGAATTAAAAAACATATTCAAGCCTTGAGTTGTAATACAGAGAGATGCTATGTACACAATCTTGAATGATCCAGGAAGCATCAAAAGAAGATGGAGGAAAAAAAGACACTCTACCCAAAATAATTAATTGACATTGAAAAATTTAAGGATGTATGTATATAAACAAGAGCCAGTGATAATGAAGGATGAAGTTGAAGCTGCACTGAAGACATTAGCAAAAAAATAAGGCTCTGGGAATTGATGGAATACTAGTTCATATATTTCAGCTAACAAATACAACTATGGATGTGCTCACCAATTTGTGCTAGGAAATTTGGAAGACAGCTAGCAGGCCAACTGACTGAAAGAGAGCCATATTATCCCCATTCTCAAAAAAGGTAATCCAACAGAATGCAGAAGTTATCAAATAATATCATTAATATCTCATGCAAGCAAAATGTTTTTGAAGATCATTCAAAAATGGTTAGTGCATTACATTGATAGGGAACTACCAGAAGTTCAGGCTGGCACTAGAAGAGGCCATGGTCTCAGGGATAGCATTACAGATGTCAGATGGACCCTGGCTGAAGGCAATGAAGACCAATAGAATGTCTATTTGTGTTTTTATATACTATATAAAAGCACTTAACTATGTGGATCATAACAAATTATGGCTAACATTGAGAAGAATGGGAATCCCAATACACTGAAATTGTGCTAATTACTAAATCTATACCTAGACCAAGAAGGTACTGTCCAAACAAAGCAAGGGAACAGTACATGGTTTAAAATTAAGAAAGATGTGCATCAGAGTTTTATCCTTTCTCCATACCTATTCAGTTTGTATACTAAGCAAATAATTTGAGAAGCCAGACTCTGAGGAAGAAGGTGGTATTAGAATTGGAGGAAGACGCATTAACAACAACCTGCATTAGGCAAATGATGCAACTTTGCTTGCTGACAATGAAGATATGAAACACTTGCTGCACAAGATCAAAGACTTTATCTTCCAGTATGGATTACATCTCAATATCAAGAAAACAAAGGTCTTTACCACAGGACCAATATAATCAATATTATGATAGATGGAGAAAGCATTGAAGTTATCAATGATTTCATCTTTCTTGGATCACCAATTAGCATCGTTGGTACTAGCAGTTAGGAAATCAGGAGACATATTGCATTGGGCAAGTCTGCTGTCAGAGACATGTACAGAAAGTTAAAGAGCAGTGATGTCAGTTTGAAGACAACGGTGCATCTAGTTCAGGCTATGATCTTCTCCATCACCTGCTCTGAATCAGAGAGCTGGACAGTGAATAAGAGTGACAGAAAAATATTGGTGTCTGTGGTGTACTGAGTATCCCATGGACTACCAAAAGAACAAACATGTGTCTTAGAGAAAATGCAGCCAGAGTGCTTCTTAGAGCCTAAGATAGCAAAAGTTTGTATTTTCTACTTCAGACATGTAGCTAGATGACACTGTTCATAGAAGAGAAACATCATGCTTGAAAAGATGGGAGGTCAGTGAAAAATAAGAAGAGCCCCAATAAGATAGATTGCCACAGTGACTTCAGCAGTGGGCTTGAGTGTTTCAGAAATTATGAGGATGGCAACAGAATAGGGCAGGCTTCAGGTGGGCTGTTCATAGGGTCATTATCAGTTGTGTACGACTTCATTTCCCCTAACAACAAAAACAAGTTTGTATGGGAGGTGATTGCCCATCTATCCCCCGAGGAGCATCTGGTGGATTTGAACTGCATGTCTTTGGGATTGCAGCTCATCTTCTTACCCCTAGATCACCAGAGCTCCCAAGATTCTATTAACAGTTTCTATTTCTATATCTTTCATTTCTTTGCTGAATTTTCTGTTACCTTTTATATACGAAACATTTTTCTTTATTGACCATAACTAAAACCAAACCCAATGCTGTCAAGTTGCTTAAACTCATTGTGACCCTATAAGACCGAGTCGAACCTGCCCCAAAGGTTTCCAAGTATGTAAATCTTTACAGAAGCATTCTGCTTCATCATTTCCCATACAGCAGTGATGTATTTGGGCCACCAACCCTTAAGTCAGCTGTCGAGCACTTTACCCACTGTGTAATCTAGTACAGTATGACTGTATTAAAGCTCTCCACTTATTTCACCACTTACTGGAGCCCTACTGAATTTGGTTTCTAGTGATTGCCTTTTCTCTTAGAAAGGGGACTTATCTTCTTGATTCTTCATTTGGTCAGAAATTGTAGATTGTATCCTGAACATTTTAAATGTTATGTTGTAGAGAATTGGAGTTTTAAGAGTCAGAATGTCTATTTTAGTAAGCATTTAACTTGATTTGTCTCAAACTGTACATTTGTCTCATAGGCAGCACTGCAAATCTCAGTTCTTTTCTATCGTCTAGTGGACTAACTGCTCTCTCCCTGAGGCTCCCTGCATAATACCGATTATAATAGTCCCTCAGGTTAAAAACCATAAAAACAAAAATAACACCCAATTCTGGCCCATTTTTTTCCCAGTGACAACTTTCTCCTACAATAAGCCTCATTGCGCTTATACATTAGGGCCTTCAGATGGCTCTGATTTGGTCAGGTTTGTATTTTTCCAGCCTTTTAATTTATTCTCTGTGATATGGTCAACCTGGTAAAGAGCTTACTTGTTCATACCAGAAGCTGAATTCTCCTGTCTTCATTTTGAACATCAAGTTCTAGAACTCTTTAATCTTGTAATAGATCATGATATTTCAGAAAATAGACATTTTTAAACTTTTCTTAATATTGAAATGAGCTTTTTAACAAACTTTATGCTTCTGTTTTGTTTTTCATTCTAGACATCAAAGTCTTTAACAGATAATGTTCCTGAGAAAGACTTTAGACCAAAAAGAGACACTGATGTGACATCTGAAAGTGACTGTGGAAACAGAAAAGAAATCAACAGAAAAATTTCTCGAAGATCAAAAATCCCATGTTATTCTAAAACTACTCAAACTATTAAGCACCACAATAAAAATGGCTCTTTTGTAAGGTATCTGACGTGGTTTTAGAAGTTCAAATAAGGCAAACTGTCAGAAGTTAATAGTACAATGTCTTCCTAAAAGTTAACTCATGACAATACATGTTGTTGTTGCTGTTATGTGCTGTTGAGTCGCCTGCGACTCATAATAACCCTATGTACAACAGCCCTAAACACTGCTCTATCCTGTGCCAATCTCACTGTCTCTGACACACCTACCCTTATTTCCCCAGTGACAGAATCAATTTATCTCATCAAGGATCTTCCTCTCCTGTGCTGTCTGTCCCTCACCTTCCCAAGAATAACATCCCTCTCCAAGGACTAGTTTCTCCTTGCAACATGCCCAAAGTATGTCAGATAAAGAAGCTTCAGAATCCTTGCCTCCAAGGAACAGCCTGGTTTCACTCTTTCTAGGAAGAAACTGTTCTTTTAGCAGTCCATGGTACATTCAATACTCTTCTCTGGCACCACAGCTCACAGGCATCGATTCTCCTTTTATCATCCCTACGCATTATCCAGCTCTCTGATTCATAGCAAATGATTACAAAGATCATGGCTTGTATCAGGTGCACCTTAGTCTACAGATTGATCTTTGAAGATCATTGATCTTCAGTACTTTAGAGAGATCTCTGACAGCAGACTTTACTTAAGATAAAAGATTTTACTTTTCATTTTCCTGGTTCTTAGTCAGTACATTTATATAAATTCATTTGAGAAGATCCATCTCTCTGTGGTAAAATTATAGTACCTAAGCTCTGCAAGGAGGGACTAGTCCTTGGAGAGAGACATCATTCTAGGAAGGGCGGAAGGACAGCGAAAGAGAGGAAGACCATCAATGAGATGTACTGTATAGCATATCTACTGTATGTTGTCAGTTTCAGAATATTTACCTGTTTTTAAAACTTGAGGATCTTATTCATCAGCTAACAAAGTAATTATTATAAAATTCTTAATTTTTAAGTCACCATTTTTTTGTTTTGTTTTGAGTACTCTTAAAAATGTTATTCAAGGGGAGCTCTGGTGGCCTAGTGGCAAGGAGCTGCAACTACAATCCCAGAGGCACACGGTTCGAATCCACCAGATGCTCTGCCGAGAAAAGGAGGGACAATCTCCTCCTGTACCAGTCAGATCTGATTTGACGGTACACACACACACACACAAAAAAAATATAAAATAAAAAAAAATAATTAAAAAAATGTTATTCAATCCAATTACAAATGTCAATGTTAGAGAAAGGTTCTATAAATACTCTTCTTTCCTGTTTTATCCTTTGCAGTTGTAATCGTAAAATAAAACCACCGTACTTTAAAGACTTATATATAAGAGCATCATTCGTGAATTCTAATACAGTAACAGAACCGGAAGAACAAAAGACTGAAATAATTAAAATGGACAAAAGTAGCTCAGAAGACACCACTTATCGGGTATGAATTAGGAGGTTGGAAAAATATACTATGAACAGTCTTGGTTTTAAATTTGGAATTAATCCCAGAGAAATTATACATGTTTCAGTAATGAAAAAAAATACCCATAATTTTACTGGAATGGAATTCCTCTCAGATCTACACTTTGTACTGTGTTACTATTTTCTATAATTTTTGAAAGAATTAAACTTTCATTTATTCTCTTTGCTTAGGTACACAATATTTGAGAGCTATTTAAAATCATGTTATATGGATTTTTCTCTAAGATTAGCTCTCTTTTAAATAATAAACAGAAATTAAATACAGAAAACCTTTAGATTTCATTTTTTTATAGTGAAAGAAAAGAAAAATTTATATGAATGAAAGGCTTATTTTTGTAATGGGATGTTGAGTAACTTATTAGTCTTGCTTTTTTTATCTTTTCTCGTTTGATGAGGGGATAAAAGATGATGCTCAATAAAACCTGGAGTCTGTTTTGCCTTTAAAGGTATATATTGGTAACTTTTCAAATTCTTATTTATTAAAGTTGCAGTACTTAACTTTTGGGGACCCCAGAACACTTTAAACTTTTAAGGAACTCTATAGATCTCCTCCACAGTTTCACATAAACAAATTTGTATATAATTTCAAGGGTTTTTTAGACTTTAAAAATCTTCAGTTTTATTTTAGCAGTTCTCATTTTGTGGTAAGTCTTAATGCAAGTTTCTTTGTTATGTTGTGTTTTTTATTAATTTGCCCACATTTTACTTGTTCAAGTACTAGTTATATTTTTGAGTTATAATGTTTTCTACTTTTATGTAATAGAACTTCTTTTTAAAATATTCACACTTTGTATGCTTATTGGCTACGTCCATTCTCAAATATGGAAACTTAAACAGGAGAAATGATTGTTATGACAACAATATTAATAGCAGCTAACCATGTATTGAATGATTATTATGTGCTGGATACTGTTTTATGTTTTCCTTGCATTCATTTAAAACGTAACAATAGCCTTTTGAAATACTAATTCTTTCTATATTATAAATGAGAAAATGGAGGGATTTGAAAATCTAACTTTTGTCAGTTCACACAGCAGTGTTGTTTTCTTTCAGTGCCTTGTTGAACAGCTAGACCAAGAGCGAGAGAGGAGATGGAAAGCTCAACAAACAGAAAAGAAACTTATTGATTATATTAGTGAACTGCATAAGCATGCAAAAGAAAATAAAGATGTTCATAGCCTGGCTCTTCTTACTACAGACAGGTAAGGAGAAACTATGTTTCAGCACAAAGATTACAGATTACTGACCCTAGAACTAAAAGTTTAAGCTTGCCTTAGTGAAATTAACTGTAGTGTGATCAGATACAATATACAGGGTTCTGGTTTGATTTAAATTAAGTTTATTAAGAGAGTTAATGCTTCATTGTTGTTGTTGTTGTTGTTATGTGCAGTCAAGTCACTTGCGACTCATTGTGACCCTAAGTACAACAGCCCTATCCTGTGCCAACTCTACTGTCTCTGACACACCTACCCCCATTACCCTAGTCGCTGAATCAGTCCATCTCATCAGTTTCCTTCCTCTCTTTGTCCATCCCTTTATCCTTCTAAGCATGTCCCTCTCCAAGGTCGGGACCCTCTTTGCAACATGCCCAAAGTATGTCTTACAAAGCCTCAGAATCTTGCCTCTAAGGAGGATCCTGGCTTCACTCTCTCTAGAATGATCCTGTTTGTTCTCCTGGCAGTCCATGGTATATATAACACTCTTCTCCAGTACCATAGCTTAAAGGCATTGATTCTCTTTCTATCATACCATGTTATTGTCCAGCTCTCTGACACATAGCAAGCAATTGCAAAGACTGTGGCTTGGATCAGACACACCTTAGTCTCCAGACTGACATCATTGCTCTTCAGTACTTTGGAGAAGTCTCTGACAGGCAACTTCCCCAATGCCATTTGTCTCTTGATTTCCTGGATACTGGTGCCAAGAGTGTTGACTGTGGAGCCAAGCAAACTAAAGCTGTTAACAATCTCAATCTCTACACCATCTGTCCTAATGCTGCCAATCAGCCTAGTGGTGAGAATCTTTGCTTTCTTGATGTTGAGCTTCAGTCCACATCGAAGGCTGCAGTAGTCCTTGACCTTCTGCAGCAAGCGCTTCAGGTCCTCAGTTTCAGCAGGGTTATGTCATCTGCATTACTCAAGTTGTTGATGTATCTTCCTCCAGTCCTTTTACCAAATTCCTCCTCATAGAACCCAGTCTCCTGGATGATCTGTTCTGCATCTAGATTGAAAAAATATGGAGACAGACTACATCCCTGGTGTATACCCTTTCTGATTTTGAGCCCTGCAGTGTCTGCTTGCTCTGTTCTGATGATTGCCTCCTGGTCCAAGAATAGGTTTCGCATAAGCAAATGTTCTGCAATTCCCATTCTTCTCAGAGTCAGCCACAGTTTATTGTGATCATTAGCTTTTTATATAAGCTAAGGATTCAGATTATATTTATTTGAGCTCTCAGAGTACTTGCTTTCAAATGGGAGATGTCAGAAATACGAACAATATAGATATTATGAGAATCTGGAACAAAAGTTGATCAGTTTTTATAGCTGCCAAAGGTAGGAATCTATTTGTCATGTCACATAGCCAGTTAGTGTTGCTGTATGTTTTATTCTGTTTCTTAAAGTATTTCAAACATATCTCCTCAGTATGCCAAAACTGTTAACTTTACTCTTTTTATCTTTTTTTTATAGCCTCTATCTCTTGCTGGTAGGGGAAAGATTGGCAATTTACAATCTTAGAAACCCACTGAAGGATCACTTATAGTTGATCTCTTGCTTGGATGATTACTCTGTTCTCCTTGTCTGTAGCTTTTCTGCCCCATCTTCCACATAATCCACAGAATAAAACCCAAAACTCTTCTAGATCACATACCATTATGGGGTTGAGAGAGAAGACTTCTTTGGAAATGACTCTTCAAGAATAGGAGAGCTAATGAGGACATGAATTGGAAGTGACTATATTATATATATTTATAGATTATAAAATTCCTTCAAATATGGTTTAGAAATTTTAAGAGACACACTTTATAGTGGTTCTGTCTTTGCTATTCAGGACCCTCTATTCAACCACTAAGCTTAAATTGCATTATAAACTGTCTTTTTGCCTATATTTGATCAGGAAGAGGGCTTCATATCCAAGCTGGTTAACTCATGATGCCTTAGGCAAAGAGGTCAGTTCATGCAGTGTGGAAAGCCTTTCTATGCTAATTGTGCTAATTAGAGCCTTAACAGAATTTTAGCTCAGCAGCACTTTTCCCCCACCCTACATGCATATAAACACTTTCCTTCACTCACATTCTAAAAACAAACCCCTGCAGCCAGAAAAACTGAAGCCATCATACAGAAAACTAGAAATGAAAAGTCCTAATTATGCTCATGCCCTCAGAATGGTGCTTGTGGTGTTAACCTAAAAGTTGGTTGTTTTAGCCTTTGCTGTTAGCACTGTCTGGTCCCCAGCTACCTTAACTGCAGACAAATAGTCTTACAAATCAGCAGCAGCTGTGGGACTAGTATAAGAGAAAGAGTGCTTCCCACACTGGGCAGCAAGACTAGAGGACAGCAAGACTTATGGTGGCAAAACTTGAGGGAAACTGAAGCAAGACCCTGGTAAGAATGAGACCCTGGTGGTAGAGATTGTGGCATGGCTGTGGAGAAACTGTGGTGAGGTTTAAGCAAAGGAGTGCTGAGAAAATGACCATAGTTAAAGGTTTTTGCTGTTCTTGCTGGATGCTTAAAGGAGAAACTAACTTACAACTGCTCTGAGGCAAACCTTGCTGGATGATTTGGATTTGACTGCTGAACTGAAACCAGACCCTGGACTAATTTAGGAATTATGACTTGGAACTTGGGCTAAAATCTGGATTTGTATTGGGATAATCTTTGTCTCCTCCACTCTCCAACTTACTTCCCTGATAAACCCCATTCTCAGTACCACGACAGTGAGACTGTGAGTCAACAAACAAGTCCTTGCTGTTGTTGTGGCACCCTAGGGCTGGGTTACAGGCTCTTCATCAGCTTTCTGTGCTGAGGTGGTGAAGAGCTGTGTTATTCTCATTCCCTCTCTCTGTGATTGACACTCATGACCTTGTACCTCTGTGTCACGTTTTCTCCTCTTTAGACAGTGCTACCCCATCCAGACAGTTTCATGAATTTGGAAGCAGGAGTGGCATCCACTTCCTAAACAACATGCCTCTGGAAACTCTATGAACTTTTATAAATAACAATAATTATAGAAAGTCTACAGGCCTTTTGTCCATAGAGTCACTATGAGTCATGCTCGACTTGACTGCAGTCAACAAGGATTTTTCAGGCTTGTTATTTTGAGGCAAACATTAAATATATCCTAGATTTCCAACTTTTCTGAGCTGCTATACCAACCATAATCTTTCTTCCTCACACCACTGTCTTACACTCTCCTTTCAGCTATGTCACAATGGGGAACTGTTCCTGTCAATAGCATCAACAACACAACCAGTATGCATGAGGTCACACATGTCTGCCATGTTCCTGTACCTCTTTCTACTCATCTTAACACTAATCTCACTGTTTTGCTGGGTCTAAAATCTGATAAGATAGCTCATCACCCTGAACCATGTTGGGGAGGTCAAAAGGTTATAATGAGGATGAGTAGCAGAATAGAGTCAGGATAGCTTCTGTAATGTGCGCCCAGGCACCTCAGCCTTGAGACTCATGGCTTTAGAACAGTGTCACAAAGTTTTCAGTCCTGACAATATTGGCTCTCCCTCACCCCTGAATTGTCCAACAAACTTGGGCAAAGACTCTTAGTTTATCTCTGATTCTGTCTGTTGAGAAGTAGCAGCCAGCTCCATCTCTGGTCCTCTGCTTTGGCTATGGTCATGTCAAGTCTCTCTGGTCTTCTGCTTTGGCTATGGCTGCTGCTGCCATAGGTGTAACTGGTGCATCACCTGGTCCTGAAGGGTGTCCTCCATTCTCTTGCTACTTCTCTTCTTCGCTGGTGAGAAAGGTCCAGTTTGCTACTGGAGCTGCTCAGTTTATTGGCAAGACTAGCCAAAAATCTCTTGTGGATCAGTGATATTGGGCAATCTCCTTGTGAAATGGTGAGAAAGCCAATCCTCTTGCAGATAGGCTAACACACCCTATTCGCATATTCCTGCCCATCCACATAGTCAAGTCAGATTCAATGGCTAAAAAAGTTATATTGAAAAATTAATTCCACAATTATTGTATGACTGAAAACAGAATGCAGCTTTGAAATAACAGGATACAGCTCACTAGATAAAGTTTGCCAACCAGAGATAGTCCTGGGAGCAGAGACACTCCAAGTCTTTATACTCCTAGTTCTTTCTGGAAAACTGCAGACAGTTCTCTATTGTTCAGGCTCTTTCTGCTGCTAGACCTCTTCCAGGACTCTCAAAGCTGGTTTTGCTGTTAGGCACCTTTTGGGCCTTCTTGCCATCTTTGATTTTACAGGCCTTCACCTTATTATCACAGCTCTTTTAGGAGATTCCTCCGTCAGGAACCCACAGTCCAAAACACTTTTTTTCCAAGTTTTTCTTGGATTTTACATTCTCTCTTTCTTCTACAAACTTTTGTGGGATTGGCAGCTATCAAATTCAGATTGTGCCCACCCACCCTACCCGCCAACTCCTAGCAGAACTACAAAGGGAGCAAGCAGTCTCCTTTTGCAGTCCTGTGGTTTGACAGAACACTTTTCCATCTCGTAAACCAACCAGTTCCTGCAAATTGAGTGAAGGAGACCAGTCACAAGGCCAGCTACACTCCAGGACCAGAAAGGCTATAGGAATTGCATTGCACTGTATTGTCCTTTTCTAAATTTCTGTGTGATCCAGTAACTTCTTCTTTTTCACTTTAGCTAGTTAAATCTTTTTTATTGAAATCACAGATGTCAATGCAAAACTAGGCTCAATACTCATCAAAATTGACTTCAAGATAGTTACTCATTTAGCACTAGTGTCACATGGCTTTATAAAGGTATCTCTGTCTGTTCCCTCCCCTCTATAATGAATTTCTTGAAAGCAGAAACTATATCTTATTTATTGTTTTCAAGTCCATACTTAGTACAATAACTGAAACAAATTAGATATTTAGTAAAGTTTTAAAGGTCATGTTAGATAAAATTTCATTAATTTATGTAGACTTTTGGCACCAAAATTAATTTCAGTGATGGGGGAAATTGTTTTCCAACAATTTTTTACTTGGAATTTGAAATACACTTCAAACATTTCATCATTTTTAAAGTAAAATTTATATTATTTATGTCTGATAAATCTTCATAAAGCTACATTTGATTTCTACTTTAGGCTAAAGGAAATTATTTTTAAAGAGAGAAATTCCAAAGTACAACTTGAAGTTATGGTTCACACCCTCCAGAGTGAAATTAAAAAACTAACTATTGAATTACTTAAAGCAAGAGATCAACAAGAGGGCCACATTAGAGACTTAAGAACCCTGGAAAAAGCACTAGAGAAATTGGAAAGGCAAAAACTTTATCAGCAAGCAGCACAGGTATTTCTATTTTAATGCCATATGGGTTAACACAAATTTATATTTTCTATCTTGGCATAAATTATACCATCATAGTAAACCTAAAGGATGCTAAGAAGACCGAGTAATGGTGGGCATAGCCCAATGGTAATTGATTTTATAAAACACACTGTATGGGAATGATTGTATAAAACATAGTGAAGGCAAGTGTGTCAGAGGGTGCATTTTAAAAAAAGAGTTGAACTTGTTGGATAAAACTACTGGTGTTTGAGTGTTCATAGAAATGGCTGTTTTCAGAGAGAGCTAGTTTAAATGTCTCTTTAGAGTACTCTAAATTATTTCCTGCTTTTGGAGTGAAATTTTTACTAGGTACTTCTCATATAGGTAAGCAGCAGTTAATAGTACATTTAATGGCTATAAAGTTATGGGTTTATGTGGCATTAATTTGTTAAACTTTAAAAAGCAATAGTCACTAGTTGGAGTCATTAGTAGAGGGCACCTTTCTTTTGATAATTGCTATTTAAAAGAAGCACTAAGGATTTAAAAAAAAACTTTATGTGTATTTTACTCAGAGAAGACTTATTCAAGAAGTAGAGCTCAAAACTTCAGCTGCTAATCGAGAAATAAACTTACTCAGAGCTTCACTTCATCAAGAAAAGGAAAAAATGCAACAGCTTCATGAACTTTTTGCATTGAAAGAACAAGAACATAGGTAAATTAAATATATCAGAAAAAATAGTGATATTTATAAATATAGACCAGAATACTAGGATTTTTTCCCCCCTCTGCAACCTAAAAATCTATTGTGGTTAAGTCTCACAGAATTAGCTCATGGGAAATAGTTATGTGTACATCAGAATCCTCCCTAGAGCAAGAACTAGTAGCCTAAAGATAAATGATAAATAGATAAACTTGTCAGTTTTGTTTTCAATCTTTTGATTTGGTGAAACTTACTTTCCCTGTCTCCAGACCCAACCAAAAAGTGATTATTGAATTTAGAAAAAAAAAAAATCACTTTAAATGATTTCTGCATAAGTATTTGTTAAATTGACCATTTTTTTTCCCCATCCCTATGAAACAAAGGTTAAAGTCCTTCTGTAAAGGGCCAAACAATAAATATTTTAGGTTTTTGAAGGCCATACTTAAATCTTCAGTTATTAAACAACAACTGAACTGACTCATAACTGACCTTCTGGTGGGTTTTCAGAGGCAGTGTGTTTAATTGCATGGGAGAAAAATGCCCATCCTTCTGCCACAGAGCAGTTTTTGGCCCCAGACGGCCTTTGAGATTGCAGTGTAGCTTCTTGCCCCTAGGCCACTAGAGCTCCCTATCTTCTACTCTAGAATAAAAACGGCTACAGATGATATTTAAACAGATAAGTGTGGCTGTCTGTGTTCTAGTGAAAATTTAATGGTATGGGCATGCGGGGAACCAGTAAGGTAGGTTTGTCCCACATGCTAAACCTACATGGGTTTATTGACCTGTTCTCTTTAGAGTGCACAGTAATTTGAACAGTTTATGTTAATTACTACTTACTGCTTAATCAGATGTTGAATCATGTCATTGCTATGGGTGGATCGTATTTGTTTTCAGACTTGTTTTGTACTTACATAAGTTACACTTTCAGCTTATAAATTTAATTTTAATGCTTTGGGAAAGTCTCTTTCATAGTACATATGAGTGAGACAATCATTAAGAGGGATATAATCACTAAGACTTAGGATTTTGTACTTAGTGTGCTTTGCAAGTGTCTTAATTTCCATTTTAAAGAAACGAAACTGAAAATAATAAATTCTGTATTAGTGGTTTGAGCTATGGAAAACTCCTAAGAAGGAACACACATTTAATAGAAAACACTGGCCTTATATCAAAGGTTGGTAAATAATTTCATACTTTAACTGACTTTTTTATTAACCAAACACCAGTTAAAATGATTGATTATTAAAGACACTCAGCCAAAGAAAGTGATGAAATGAAGCAAGACAACTTTGGCAAATAAATCTAAAAAAATTCAGAAGCCATAGAGTGATTCTGAACTGTTTTGGTGAAGCTGAGATTTGACATCCTCCATTTATCCCCATCAACATTGAATGCACAGTCAAATAGAACTTTCTTGTTCTACGTTTATCCTTTGCTTCAGTTTTTGTGTTTAAAAGTGAAGAGCTGATCTTAAATTCAGAATAGGGAATCCAAAATAATTAAGATCTTTAAAGACCACTAAAATTTTTCATTTCAGGTGACAGCATCCTGTGATTTTTTTGGTTGGTTTGTTTCTTATTCCAGGAAAGAGCTTGAAACAAGGGAGTTTTTTAGTGAATCGGAATTCCGCAATGCTTTAGCTAAAGAAATAGCCAAACAAGAGAGCAAACATGAACAAGATATAAAAGGATACCAAGAAAAAATTGACATGTTAATTCAGCAGTACATGGATTTAGAAGATGAATTCCGCATTGCCTTAACAGTTGAAGCAAAAAGATTTAAAGATGTAAGAATTGCCATCTGTTTATTGAAAACAGAATCAGCAAGATACCATTTGATGAGAAGACTAATTTTAAAATCCTGGCTTTTTATTTTTCTTTATTTTATTAATTTATTTTATTTATTGGCTATGTGACCTTATAGCATTACTTAGATTTTTAAAACCTTAGTGCCTTGCTTAAATAATTACTATTGCATAACTTAAGATCATAAATGATGAAGTAATGGGAGCACTGAAATAGAAAATTGAAAACTTAATGTTCCTTGCAATTACTATGGATCATGGGTTGATAGGGTAAGGCCCTATGTGCCAAATCTGACCCACTTCCTGTTTTTATAAATAAAGTTTATTGGAACATAGTCAAGCACATTTGTTTATGGCTACATTTGAATTAAGAATGGCTGGAGTCAGTCAGTTACCCATACATTTTTATACTTTTGCTGATGCTTCCAAAATGGAAAGAAATAATTTCTTTCCCAAAACAGGTATTTTCCAAATACTTAAATACATGTTATTTATAATGAAATTTTGAAATGTAGGTTAAAGATGGCTTTGAAAATATTGCAACTGAATTAGCAAAGAGCAAACATGCTCTTGTTTGGGCTCAACGGAAAGAAAATGAGTCTTCCTCTTTAATTAAAGATCTGACCTCAATGGTGAAAGAGCAAAAAACAAAGCTTGAAGAAGTGTCCAAATCAAAACAAGAAACAGCAGCAAATTTACAAGTAAGACTTTGTATTCTTCTAGATCCTTTTTAACTTTTTATGTCATTTTCTCCAAATGTCTTAGGATTTTAAGAGCACATAAAATTAACTTTTAAATGATAACTAGTTAATATATATCATTATATCTGTGAACAAATTTAACAAGTAAACCTATTGCTTTACAGTACTGATCACACTAAAATAGTTCTTAAGTAAAATAATTAATTTCAAGAAACAGAAATAGATACCAGGTTTTCTAAAATAATAGAACAAAGGTTATGAAGGTAATACTCAAATGATTTAATGTTGAGAAGTAAATGTTAATTTTGTGGTAATGGGTTTTGGTTTTGGATATACTGTGCTGCTTAATTTTAAAAATAATGCCTTTATTGCTTTGTCAACATTTTTTTAAAACATTTGTTATACTGTAGCATGTTATTGTGTGCCATCGATTTGAAACTGACCCTCAAGTGAGTTTTCAAAGGCAATAATTGTACAGGAGGAGATTGTCCATTCTTCTTCTGCAAAATAGTTGATGGTTTTGAACTGTGTGCCTTTGGGATTGCAGTGCAGATTCTTAGGACTAGGCCACCAGAGTTGCTTTGTGACCATTTTTTACATTAGCATTACTGCATCAGATAACATCCTTTCTGAAAAAGACATTTACACTATTGATACAAATGCTTGATAAGAAATATGGAGTTCTTTCACGGTATTGGCATAAGATTTCAAGGGATAACCCCTTAAAGCTTGTTTGTGGTTTTGTTTTTTATTTTATTCCTTCCTTATTTAATATAATTAAAACTTTCTAGGAGGGATTGCATAACAATGAAAGAGTTTTTTTCTTTTTCTTTTCAAGGAGAAAGTGAATTGGGGGGGTAGGGAATTGGGGGAAGGGAGAAAAGTGCAACAATGAATGACTGGAAACCCTAAGTAACTTTAATTAAAATTAATAAAAAACCTTTCTGATGCATAATTTGGCAAATTTGCACTATATTTAAATAATATTATTTTCTCATGAAGTAGAACACTAGCATTTAATATAATAATTCCTATTATTTACTTTTCACTTTTGGGGGGCATATACAGAATCAAATGAACACTCTTGAACTTTTAATTGAAGATGACAAACAGAAGAGTATTCAAATAGAACTTCTCAAGCAAGAAAAAGTCCAGCTTATTTCTGAGCTAGCTGCCAAGGAATCACTAATTCATGGCTTACGGACAGAAAGGAAAGTGTGGGGACATGAGCTGGCACAACAAGGTAAAATTCTCCTTTTCAATGGAAAATAGCCTATTATCTTTATAAGCCAATAATTTTCATTATTAGAGAGTGAAGGAAGGAGGCTTACTTACGCACAGAGAAACCAAGGAAGATTTTTCTGAAGATGGCAGCTCTTGATCGGAAAGATTAAGTAAAATATTTGTCAATCGAATAGGAATGAAATCCTTCTGATAGTGGAAAGTAATTTATTATAGGAATCAAGAAGTTATGCTCCTTATTCTTCTGTAGGTTTCTTTGCACTATAATTTGACCTCTTTTCTGAATTAAGTATACCTTTACAAAACTGTAATTAAATTAATTTAAATATTTCTCATGTAGTAATTTCAAATTATTTCTTTTTCTTTAAAACTGCATTATAGAGAATTTCCTTTATTTTTTCCTTCAAGTATTTGTAACATTTACTGTATTTTGTATGCAGAAGTGTAAAATAGTATAGGAAGGAATATCATGTAAGCATCCTTCCAATTATAATAAAGCCAAGAGATTTACAGTGTTTTAAGGCATTCATATGTACTTTTAAAATTATAGATGTTGACCCTAATTTAGTATAAGCATTCTTCATTTGTCCGGTCCATATTATATGAGTTTTTGTTGCTGTGTACCACAGAGTTAAAACTGACGCAGAACTGACCCTTTGGCAGGTTTTCAGAGGCAGTTAATCACATCGAGGGAGATTGCCCATCCTTCTCCTGTGGAGCAGCTGGTGGCCTTAAACCATATGCCTTTAGGATTGCAGCACAGCTTCTTGTCACTAGGCCACCAGAGCTCCCTAGAATAGTATTTTTGTTGGTGATTGCTGTCAAGTCGAGCACGACTATAGTGACCATACGAAAAAGACCTGAAGTCTTTGTATAACTACCATTTCTCAAAGTTCATAGAGTTTCCAGAGGCATGTTGTTTAGGAAGTGGATGCCACTCCTGCTTCGAAAGAATAACAGTATAACATAACCAATTGATTATTGCCTTTTTTTGGTTTTTAATTTTATTCAGTAGTCACAAAACTTTAAAAGATTTTTATAATCTTGTATGTTTTATATCATATTATATAGTAGCATTTGTATTCTTAATTTGTTCTGCTAACTTTAGTAGCAGATCAGTTTCAATGAAGTGTGAAGTCGACAGTATCTCAAATGTTTGATCTGCTGTTTAACTCCATGATTTCCAACATCAGCAGTCTGTCCTTCATTCACTTTTCTAACTCCTCTATGTCACTTGGGTTTAGTGGTTCGCTGGAAGTTCTCCCGGAGGCTCAGACCCCTCACGTGACTGTAGATATGCAGGCCGGTTTTGCAGAGACTGACGAGGGTTGTAGACTATCAGTTGCAGTACTGCTGGAAACTGGGCCTCCCTAAAAGAGAATTCTCACCAGCTGATATACGCCTCTTGAAGGGTTGTATGCCACTTCATAATCTTCTCTCCTTAAAACGATAAATACTTTAGCACAAAATAAACAGTAAATCATTGACTAGGAGAGACATTTTAAATGATAAACCTTTGAAACCACACATATCTTTTGTTTCTTTGTTGTTTAGGTTTTGGATTTTTTAAATTGTTGTGTGTTGTTAAATTATATTTTTATAACATACAGAACATCTAAAGTCTGTTACTATTGTTTGTTTCTTAGGAGCTTCTATGGCCCAAAATTATGGAAATTTAGAGGCTAAAATTGAAAGTTTATGTAGAGAGAATGAATCTCTTCGAAAGACAAATGAACGTGATTGTGATGCTTTAAGAATTAAGAGCAAAATCATAGATGATCAAACTGAAACCATTAGAAAATTAAAAACCGTAAGTGTAAATTTTTTTTAATAGCAAAATGGCAGTTTGAAAATTAGTGGATCCAAAAAAGTATTTGTCTCAATTATTCCTAACTGTTGGAGAATTTAGGACACAATAGTATGCATTTCCTTTATACTCTTCCCTTTATTTTTCAATATGCTAAACAAGGTTCAAGTCTTTTGTTTATAGGGTCACTATGAGTTGTGCTTGTGCACCAAATAACAACATAGGAAATTTATTAATTTGAAATTAATTTTACTTTACATTTTATGGAGAATATTAAATCACCCTTTGAAATGATTTGGAAATACTTGGTGGCTAGAGGGAGCTCCGGTGGCCTGGTGGTTAGAAGTTGTGTTGCAAAGCTGCTCCACTGGAGTGTTAGATAGTCTGCACCTATGCCATTCATTACCTCCAAAAACCTGGAACATCACGTATATTTTGATTCTGACTTGGCAATCCACAACAACAACAAAGCATTAAGAATTACAAGAAAATTCACATTTCGTATGAATATTAGTATCATGAGAAAACTGACATTTTTTTTATTATT